GAACTACAGACTTAACGGCCGATAGTTCGGTGACGATACACCTAGACGATAACATACAAATAATGTATGTACGTTTGTTGTGTTATGGTGCCAGCAGTATAAAAGATTGCATCAGTAGGGTGCGCCCTCTAAACATATACCGACCCGTGCAAAAAGCAGATGAGAAAACTCGCATTTGGCAGAGACAATAGAAAGTACAGTACTGTCCCATTGCCAGCGACGAGTTCACTCGTCTCCTAATATTTTCCAGTATATTAATATATATATTAATAGTATATTAATTATTTTCCTAATATTATACAGTACACATCATTTTGATATGTGACTTGCAGTGGCGGATCCAGGAATTTGAAATAGAGGGGGTCAAGAGAGGGACTTTCACAGATCGTGGGTCTATACTGTACTACCTCAGCCCCACCATAGTTGTGGCTGGTGCCAGAAAATTTATGATTACGACTCCTCTAGATGGACATAAATGGCACTCTCAGACATAGAATTTGGGTAGAATTTTTTCTTTTTCTCTCCATTTTTGTTTTTTAATTTTGAAAAATTTAGAGGGGACGAGGCCTGAGTAGGCCGCTCCCCCTCCCCAGCAGTCAATGTTTTACAAAATTGAACAACTTGTGAAATCAAAAACAGTTTACACCGTTACAGTGAACTGTCTACCATACATTGTTGTACCTTGCTTTTTTCATCTGATGCAAACTAGAGGAAAATCAATGATTACATTTAGATTATTGATTGTACGATATAATCCAATTGTTCATTAGATTAAATGGTCAGGAGACCATACAATCAGTGTATCCACGTATCTGTACTGTACATCTCACAAAATTATTAATCTTTACTTCCCCTGTATAAAGTAATATGGAACATGTATTTTACCGAACAGAAAGTATTACATATTTTCAGTACCCACTAATTTTTAAGTTCTGGGTGCCATAAATGTTCGAGCTCTGCTCTTTTTAATAGTTAACCCAAAACTGTACATCAGGGGTGGGCAATAAAATGGGTTGGTGGCCAAAGTGAATTTTTTTTTTAACACAGAGAGCTTCCCCCAAATTTTTATGTTTCCAGTGTGCTTTCAAAAACTTTCATGAATGCTTTTATACCACTTTATTCTCAGTTTTAATACACTAATACATTTTACAGATAATCGGTATCTGGCCGTAAAAAACAAAACAATTCTGATTGCATAAGTAGTGAATAAATGAAATATGGAACTTAATTTTTGAAGTGTGTATTATTATGTACCTCTTTGGTTGAACCAAAATACTACAGTATCCGTATTCATATCTATCATTTATTCAGATTCAAATAGTTGAAATTACATTTTTTGATTAGCTATGCCACTATTGCATGCTTTGAATAAAACCCCTTCAATAAGTATTAAACAAATTTCCATGAACATGATTTTATACTGTAGAATTAATTTCTACAGCTCTGATAGAGGGAAAAAACAGTTATTCATTTTTTTTCCCAACATAATGTGATAGTATTTACCATTTGAAAGACATTTAGCAGAACATTAGGAATGATTCATCATGTTCTACACATCATATAATTTTCATATTTGCAGCTTTACCTGAGAAGCATCCTCAAATCTCATTACTAATTCATTAGTTTCATATCATATAAATTCTTAAACTTGAAAACAGTAGACTACAAATGCAGAATATATTACACGCAAGCTGTAAAATTTTTAAAGTACCGTATGTAATTTTAAGATAACATATGCTTTCATGAATTTTATTGAACGTTTTTTTCTGCCATTAGCAGGTGTATCATCCATATTGAAGACATTTTATTTTTTTCAGTTCCCAATTATCAATCTTTGTTCACATGTTGACATTTTAGTCCGCCATTTCTTAAATCCCCGGTGTCCTAGATCGTGGTATATTATTACTTTTATTTACTATTATTAGTAATCAGTACCTTTCTGAATAATGTTATCTTGCATACTAGAGGTCATAGTTCTTTATAGTACATTTCCTATTCATACTAAATTCATATTATAAGGCCAAGTTAAAAAAAAAAGTAGTTTCTTGTCCTAACACTTTGAAAAAAGGAGAATGAGGGCAATTTTTGTTTTCGTTTCTTTATTACGCTGTGATGGCTAATCCAAGATGGTCAATGAGAAACAGCTACTACTTTCTCACTTTCACCAAGTAGACAAATTGAAAGCAAATAAAAGAAGCACTAGATATGACATACCATATTGTACAGTATGTATCCCCAGACCACGAATGATCTAGAGAGCATTTTACTGATGCGAGTTAGTCATATTTTCATACATTTCATAACAAAGGAAATAAAAAGAAAACAAAATTTGGTGAGGCAGAGACAATGGATGCGCAAGAGGATGAAAAAATATTAATTTTTTGTTTATTTGTGATTATTAGAGTAAAATTGTGGTTAGCTCATGAAGTCATACTATACAAGTTTTAAGCTTAAAGGTTTTTATTAATTACTGTATTTGTTTACATTCGAATGATTACTTTTTTTCAATTGATTCTATTTTTCAATTGTATTTATGAAATGCATTAATTTTTCCCCTTCGCAAAAAATACAGTTGAAAAATCATTGAGTTTTCCTGAAGTCTAATGTATTTTATGTAAAAACAAAAAATTAATGTATTGTTGAAATGAATGTAAATTTTGAATTTGAATATTTTGAAATCTTTGTACATTCCTGGGACTGACTTAATTTATAATATTAATAAGTCTTTTACAGAGGTCATTGACAAATATAATTTGCTGCAAGTTATAATATTTATTTATCCACAGTAAACTGCATTGCTCATAGACGGTGTACAGTAAATCATTAAATTATTTGGATGGAGAAAATGTTATAAACCAAAAAAAATCTGAGAAAAATATTGATATTAAAACATTAAATAAAGCTAGCACTTGGCCATAAGCGTACTACAAAAGAATATTGTACATAGAAGATACAGTAAAAAAAATAACATACAAGAAACAAATGTTACCTAACAATGACAAAATACATTAAAGACAGCGGATAATTAATAATTAATTTAATTAATATTATTATTACTAACACAGTACTTTTGCGATTACAGTAGATATTAAACCAGCAGTACACCATCGTTATAAATAAACACTGAATAAGAAACACTCTTTTATATAATTTTTTCTTCTCAAAAACATTTCAAAATTCACAAGAACCGAAACAGCAAGGAACAAGCACATACGAACATGAAACAAGAACACCCTAAAAGTGAATTAAATCACTGTCGTGTGGGGCCCTTTCACGAAATACACAAATGGCTATAAATTGTGCTTTATAGATTAAAACGTGCAAATAATACAATATATTAAAAATCTGAAATAAAACATGCATACAGAAATTTAAAACTTTGGCATTTCAAATAATGAAATATTATGTAATAACCACAGGTTAACTACAAAACCAAAAAGGGAATCTGTTTTCTAAAGAGAGCAGGATGTTATGTAATATACTGAAGAATCCCTATTCATCAAATTTCCATAGAGCCAATTAATAACAGTGATACACAATGCTGAATGTTCATGTGTAAATTAATTTTATTAGAAAAAAATTTAAAACCCTACAGACAAAAATATAGCATAGTTTCTACTGTATATTATTTGGTCAATTAGTTGCTATTATAAATGTACAATATACTGAACCGGATTCAAAGAAAGACAAAACATGATTACATATAATAAAAAATCTAGATACTATCATAGAATTGTACAATGTCACTGGCAGACTATAGTAAACTTCTCATTTTTGAAAAAG